GAACAATTCAAATGCAACCAATAACACTAAATATTTGAAACCAAGGTAGAGATAGCGAGAGAGATAAGATAGGCTAAAATGCTGAATAAGAATTAAACTGACCAAAAGTAGTAGTTAATCAAGGAATCACAAACTCCATCAAGTGAAGATTTTGTGAAAATCATGACTTGGTTTGAAAGGGGTAAGAGATATTTAATTTCTGCAATATTTCGGTTTCCCTCTTAAGAATCAATCACCAAAAAGATGTAATTAAAACAGACTGACACAAACAGAGATTGATATATTCTTCATTAACTTATATGTGTACGTAAATAGAAAAAAAAAAAAAACATGAATTTACCATTCTTGTTGTAGACCAAAGCTAAAATTCAACATTGCCCTGTTTCGACGCACTCAAATTAATAAGCAAGGTAGAGAGAGGAGAGAGAGAAGATAATACTAAAATGCCGAATAAGAATTAATCACCAAATATGTAATTATAACAGAATGACACAAATAGAGATTGATATATATTCTTCAAAGAGCTAACATGTGTATGTAAAAAGAAAAAAATGACATTACCATTATTGCTGTAGACCAAAGCTTAAATTCAACATTGCGCTGGTTTGGCGCACATAAATTAATAAGCAACTACACAAAAGAGTACAATATAGTTAGAGATGAAATACATACCTGCACCTTGAGACGCCAGATTCTTCTTGTATATCATGTAGAAGTTTGAATACTCTCTATACATCAAGACAGTGGGTTTCATTCTTATTCATAAACTCCCAACAGATAATTGCAGGGGATTGGAGTTTTTGCAGAAACTTGAACTTCCCAATATTGGGACATAATTCGACAAGTCGTCGGATTTATGCAGATGATATGACGCTGTCCCAGCCCAGCAAGATATGCAGAAGGTTGAATTTCCTAACCTTGGAACATAATTCCAGAAAGCCTTTCCAAAGGCCTAAGCAGAAACTTGAAATTTATCAATCTTTTCCTACCATTTTAGTCTATCCAGACATAATTCGACATGGCGAATCATAAGCAGACTTATGAAGTTTAAGCAGAATATTGAAATTTTTACCACTTTCAGGACATCTTTGAATGTCGTATCTTGCTGTCCCAGCCTAGCAAGATTTGCACTTTTGCAGAAACTTGAATTTCAGAGATTGTGTGACATCACTGAATTTTATAAATCTCATTAATTTGTCGTGATGTTTCAGGCCTGCAAGGCAAATAATTTAAGCAGACCAAATGAATTAGCCACCAGACTTATTAGAAAAGCCTTATTCAAGGACATTTTTTCTTCCATCAAACTGCAGAATATTGACCACTATATTGTTGTCCTACCTGAGTAAGATATAGTGTTTTAAGTAGAGAGTTGAATTTTCCAAAAGAACAATCATTAGAGAAGCAAAGAGCATTTACTCCTCATCATTAGCAGAATATTGAATGCATCATGTTGCCCAGCTCAACAAGATATAGAGTGTTTAGCAGACAATTGAACTTTCCCAATCTCCGAAATCGTTAGACAAGCAGACAATAAAAGTAGACTTTTTATCAATATATGCAGAGTAGAGTTTTTCCTCTAGCAATATAATGAAGATATCGTTAAGCAAGCAGATAACTGAATATTCCAATCTCCGAACATCCAAGCCTTATTAGACTAACTTTTATTCCCCCATCAGCAGACACTTTGAATTTTATATCATACGGTCTAGCAGAGCTAGATTTAGAGTTTTAAGCAGATAATTGAATAATCTCAATCTTGGGACATCATTAGATACAAACCATGTTAAAAGGCAGATCTTTGTAAGCCTTGTTAATGGCAGATCTTTGCAGAATTTGAAGTATATCAAGCTCTCCAGGCTCAGCAAGATCATCTTAAGCAAGCAGATAACTGAAGGTTCCATTTTCCAAACATTCAAGCCTTAGTAAAAAGACTTTTATTCCCCATATAAGCAGAGATTTTGAATTTTGGGACATCACTAGATACAAGCCTTGTTAAAAGGTAGATCTTTGCAGATTTTGAAGTTCACATCAAGCTGTCCAGGCTCAGCAAGATAATCTTAAGCAGACAATTGAATTGCTAACCTTATCTCAAGCACCTAGTGCTTCTCAAGCACAACAAGATAATCTTAGACAAGCAATTAACTTATCTGAATATCCCATTTTCCAAAACATTCAAGCCTTGTTAAAGGACTTTTATTCCCCATCAATAAGCAGAGATTTTGAATTTTACATCATACTGCCTTAGCATAGCTAGGATTAGAGTTTTAAGCAGAGAATTGAATTTTTCCCGATCTTTGGACATCACTAGATACAAACCTTGTTAAAAGGCAGATCTTTGCAGAAATTCAAGTGTATATATCAAGCTGTCCCAGCTCAGCAAGATATAGTAATTTGGGACGCAATTTTTGACAAGTCTTATTTAAGAACATTATCTCCGTTTCAAGCATATCTTGCTTGTGTTAGGCAACAAATTTTCCCAAGTTAGAAACCGGACATACAACAACCATATGATGTGTCGTCCCTTTCTTTTGGGTTCGAATAAAAGAAAAAAAGTTTTTCTTTTTTTTTTTGAAACTTTTTAAAGAAAAAAAATTCAAACAGAACAATACCAAAAAACAGAAACCTCAAGAATCGAAAAACAAAACAAAAGTTTTAAAGAAAGTGTGTCGATTCGTTCGTAGGTT